GTCCTTCTGAGAGAAAAAAAAAAAAAAACAGACACAAAAGAGTCACTAGTTGTGATCTTGAGCTATACAATGTATCTGGAGCAGCTCAGATTATTTTGAAATCTCAAATCTGAGAACAGATTTGGAGATCTGTACTAAAAAAGTTGCTCGGAGAAAAATTGTTTATAGCTTTTGTACTATTATTGTGAACTGCACAATTGCTGCTTCTGTCACTTTTTTTCTTGAGAAGAATTGTGTTTATTTAGATGTGCGGAATGTCTTTACAACCACATCAAACGGGAGACTTTTCAGACACGCACTCCAACTTCACCTCAGCCTCAGACGTGAGTCAAACTTTCATGATCTCCAGCTGGAGTGCCCATGAGCTCCTCTAGAGGGCACTCCATTCTGTACCTTGCCATTCACTCAGGACTCCATTTCCCATAATCCTTTGCCCGGACTCATCAAGTGCATCACCTGTCTCTCATCAGATCTGATCATCAGTTCACAGCTGTCTCACATTAGTAGGACTATAACAATAGCACACACACTCTCTGTCATCGCTGGTGATTGTATGTTGTATAGCTCTTCCGTGGTTTCTAAGTTTCCGTGTTTCTAGTTTCTCTGTTTCCTTGCCTTTGTGTTTTGATCCCTGGACTGTTTTCTTGTTTATGATTGTTTTGCTGCCTGCCCTGACCATTGCCTGATTATCTGGATTACTCTTTTGCCTTGCCACTGCCATCGTTGTTTGCTGTTGTTGACCATGCCTGGTTGACTACGCTCTTATTAAAGCCTTGCATTTGGATCCCCACTTTGTCGTCACGCCTCCCTCGTTACACAAACGAGCGCAGAAAACAGTACAGGAGACGAGGAGCTTCAGTAGAACAACAGTGAACTGCGGTCAGATGAGATGTTCTCAGGTCATATGTCAGTAAAAACGAATCTTCCTGTCCTGTCAGCCGTTATACTGTGCTCGTAGCACCTGTATCATTTCATATTAAAGCGCGAATTAAACTACGAGCATGCGTGTCAGATCCGCGTCACGTTCTGCAGTAAAAGAAAAAAAGGAAATCAATAACTTTTGTAGCTTTAAGGATTCATCTATATTTAATTTAGAATTTAGTGTTTGATAACTTTATTCAATTTCTGTATATTTCCTACTTGCTGAAGGGCACAAGTAGCTAAATATGACGCTAAATATGAATAATGGGTTTATGTGAAGATTGTTCACATTTATGTGAAGAAGTTCACTTAAATTATATATGTTTGTTTGTCCAAGTGGTTCTGTATTTGGCACATGTAAACATTGTTACATTCTTTACTTACATAAAAAATGTAATAAAAAAGTCCACTTAAATTAGTTGTCATTTTTTAAAGTCTAATAAATGTTAAAAACGATAGCTCTCAATTATACTGTAATGTTGAATGACTATATATGAATGGTTAAATATTAGAGAAAAAAATAATAAAAATTCCTAGAGACATCAGTAGTATTGGTGTCAGTGATACTCTCAGTCATAAAAAAACATACCATTAAACAGAGATTAAAAATATACTGTCTTTATGTTGTTCCTACATTAATTTGAAGATTGAATGTGAAATTATTACAATATAAAAGTATATTTAAAAATTTTCATGTAATAAAACATGGCTTAATGCATTAAAACTGTATTTTTAAAAATGCCAAACTCAATTAACATTATTAATAAATCATAGTATGTACAGACAAGCAGTTTATTGAGTTTGGTATTAAAAGAAACTAACTATTTTAATGCATTTAGCCACGTTAAGCATTTTACTCCCATAAGGAAAATGCTTAATGTGTAATTAAACGCATTGCGTTCGTATTATGGACTCATATCTGCTTGTCTGTACATAGTATGATTTATTAATAATGTTTATTGAGTTTGGTATTTTTAAAAACACTGTTTTAATGCATTAAGCCACGTTAAGCGTTTTTCAATGATCATTTGCATTGATGCATTTGGCAGACACTACATCTTTGCATTCCAAGTGTGACCAGTTCATGCATTCTCTGGGAATCAAACCCATGACCTTGGTGTTGCGAGCGACATGATCTACTGTTTGAGCTACAAATATGATATTTTTTTATTTCAGACTGACAGGAAAAATCAAGCAGCTGGAGAAGCTGTGCGGTGTGTCAAAGATGTCTGAATGTGTATTTAAATCGCAACTTTAAGGCCAGAAACACAGTATGCAACACTAGATCAGTGCATTACATGACTGTATATATGTAAAGGGTTATTACATGCAAAAAAGATAATTCTGTCATCATTTATTCTCATGTCATTCAAAACTGTATGATTTTCTTTCTTTCTCCTGTGGAATGCAAAAAGAATATATTTTGAAGACCAAACAACATTGGACCCCATTGACTTTCATCATTTGCACTGCAACAAAAATATTTTTTTGTTTTCCAGTACAAATATCTAAACATTCATAAATCAAGATGCATTTATTTGAAAAGCAAAATGACAACATACGCAGTTTTGTTTTCTGAAAAAATGACCAAAATGAACTGTGTTTATGCTTAAAACAAGAACAAATATCTGCCAATGGGCTCAGAAAAATACACTTGTTTTCCGTTTTAATTAAGTTGATTTTTTTGACTCCACTGACAGATATTAGTTCATGTTTTAATCTTAAAATCACTTCATTTTGATAAATTTCTCAGAAAATAAATCTTCATACCTTATATCATTTTGCTTGCATCTTAATTTAAAAATAATTAGATGTTTGTACTGGAAATACCGAGTAATAAACTCATGTTTTGCAGTGTGGACATCAGCATTCATACGATTATAGTTTTTATAAATATTCTGAATTGTTTTTATTTTCATATTTTGTGTTTTCATTTTAATTTAACTTAAAAGTTTTAGTAATTTTGCTGTGTGTTTTTGTCATTTTTAGTAGTTTTTTGTGTCTATATAGTTTTTATTTTATTTTTTTTTTTCAGTTTTAGTTATTTAAGTAAATCAAGTTAACTAAAAGTAAATGAAAATGAGGAATGCTGCTTTGGCAACTAGCTGAAATCATTATTTTATTTTATTTCACTTAACTTTTAAGTCATTAAAAGTACAAAAAAAAGTTTTTTAATGGTTTTAGTTGCAGTTTCAGTTTTAGTTAACTATAATAACTCTGGTGGACAGAAATAAGAAAGTAAGTCATACAGGTCTGAATGACACGAGGGGAGTAAATGATGACGAAACAATCATTTTTAGGTTAAAATGTGGAGACTTACTTGTCCTGAATCTGGATGCGGCTCCAGTAGAGCGGTTTCATGGGGCAGGCCGGTTGGTCTGGTCCCGTCGCCCGCTGGGGTTTTGATGAAGGTCTCGCGGTCGGTCTGGACGCACACGTTGCGGAAGCTTTTGGGCGGCTGCTCGTCTTCTGTGGAGACACAGACGTCCTGTAGCTCGCCGCGCTCCTGGACGGTGTTATACACCTGCGTCCGCTGCATCCCGCCGATGAGCGACTCCAGACGAGACACGACCTCCGCATGCTCGCCTCGAACCTGGAAGATCTGCAGCTCGAAATCCGCCTGGAGTCACACACACACCAACAAGCAATTACTATTAGTATGCAACGGACAATAAAAACATCAGGGTTATCACTGTTTATTAAAACTAAACTAAAATAAATCACTTTTGTTTTAAGCTAGTTACCAAGGAAACATTTATCATTTTCGTTCAGTTTAACTTGGTTAGCTTAGTTTAAATAATAATATTAATAATTAATAAATAAAGAATAATAAAATAACAGTAATAAATAATAAAAATGAATAAAAACCATATAGATATCTGGAGAAAAATATAATAAAAAAACAAAAACAAACATCAAAATTATTAAAATATGAACTAAATTTAAAATGAAAATTATAAAACTAAAAAATAATTCAAAATATTAAATAAATATATATATAGATATTTAAAAAAAATCTAATAAAAATGAACAAAAAACAACAACAAAAATACTACGACTTTAAAAAAAAAAAAAAAAAAAAAAAAAAACAACAATTCCCTCACTGTTTCCACTGAGCACAGCTCACACACTCTGGTCATGTGGCACACGGTGAACAGATGGGAGGGTGGGATTGTAGGGATGTAGTGTATTGGGGGGCTTCTCCATGTGCTCAGTCAAACACTTGCTTAAGCCTTAAGCCAAATTAACTCAGCGTCTCCCTTTCGAAGTGATTTACAGCAGCCTGGTGCTTCTGAACTTCCCCCAACCCTTCTTCTATGACCAAGACCTACGGCTTCCCAAAGGAGTCATCAACCATGAAAGGAGCCAGGGAAAGACCTCTTGTATATGAATATGAAAATTATCGATGCCCTCACAGTTTGTAGGGCCTTTGGGGATTGAGTCATATGAACTCAACAAGGTTGACTGCTTGGCAGTTAAGCTCCAAATTGGGATCATGGGTGGGGGGGGTGTGGGTCTACCTCAATATTCACAGTAAATAGCCACAATAAAACAGTGAGGATGACAACAGACCATCATCTCTTATTCTGAGCATCATTATGGCGATAAGAACCGCTGACGGCATTTCTGCTGTCAGGAAAAAAAAGCAGGGACTGTGCTCATGCATGAGCATGCATATTAATGCATAAATCAAAGTGTTCTACCTCTCAAAGTACTAGAGCTGGGCATACTAGAAAAACAAAGGGGAAGGTACAGAGAGAGCCTTATGTAAATCAGTGTATTGTTGCAGGGTTTCCTGTTCCCAGCTGTTACGCATTAAGCCTCTCACTAAGTGAAAAATAAATAAATAAGTATCACATGAGTGTTTGTGTAAAACAAATAAACCAGATGAAATGGGTAAGGCAGAGCCAGTTGGTGGTTTATGTTATGAGGATCTTCAGATTGAGAAGAAATTATGCACATGCAAACTGCAATATGATATCTGATGCATGCATTATGATGCATATTGTAGGTACTCATGGAAATAAATATATTTTTGTGTATTACAAAAAAATAATAAAGGGCATACATTTAGAATGTATATAAAACTGCTTCTTTAAAGAAGAGAGTTCCTCATGATGTTTGTTCATATTTCCAGATGAAGCACTCTTTAACGGAGGTCTTGGAGATGCACTCTATCATTTAATAGTTTAAGGTCAGAAAGTTATTTATTTATTTCATTCGGCAAGGCCACATTAAATTGATCAAAAATGACAGTAAAGACGTTTATAATGTCACAAAAGTTTTCTATTTCAAAATACTGTTCTTTTGAACTTCATGTTCATTAAAGAATCCTGAACAAAATGTATTACTGTTTCTGCAACAATATTAAGAAGCACAACTGTTTTTATCTTTGATAATAATAAAAATAGAATAATAATTTAAAAAAGACAAAATTGAAAACTGAAAATTCAGTTTTGCCATCACACTAATAAATTACATTTTAAAATGAAAACAGTTCTTTTAAAATGTAATAATATTTCACAATATTACTATATTACAGTATTAATATTTTGACTGTATTTTGATCAAATAAATGCACCCTTGGTGAACATAAGAAACTTCTTTCAAAAACATAGCAAAACTGTCGGTCAAATTTTACTGACCTCAAACTTTTTGAACGTTTTAAAACATTAATGACAGAAATAACTTGGAAATGTTCCACAGAGACATTTCTTTCTTCTTTGGAAAAAAAAAACACGATAATTTTGGACAATGTGTTTTTTATCCCCTATAGTCACTGGGTCATCCAGTTTAATTTAGAATCCCACTGCTCGGACAAACATGGACAAAAACAAACTTCTTCAAAAAACCTTTTGTGTTCCTAAAAATAAAGAAAATCATACAGATTTGAACAAAAAAAGAAAAGACATGAGGATGAGTAACTGATGACAGAATGTTTATTTTGGGGTAAACTATCCCTTTAAGAACATGGTAATGAATACTTCAGTTTTTCACTGCCTCCTCATTTTGACTCACATTAAATTAAACCCTGTACTCTGACTCAGATCCATGCATTTGTTTCTGAGTCAGTGTGCTGTGGTGTCTGATACAGTGAGGATGTGTTTAAAGGTGGATGAGTAATTTGTCCCAAGGCTTGAGCTAAACCGTGATAAATAAGCCTGTCACATTCATTAGTGCTGGGCCAGAGAGTACTGCACACCTCAGACTACACACCACACTTCATTCATAAAGACCAAGAAAAATACTGTACACAAATAATAAAATCATCCAAGAACTTCTCGATCACACGTCACACGTGTATAAAACCCAACATCCATTCAAAAATATAATAACTTTCCCTTCACCCTCACACATGATTATGAATGGCTTGATGGAGGCGCAGGAGGTTGTGAATGGGGTCTTTGTGACTCGCAGCCTCTTTTCTGCCTCGGGAAGTCAAGGCGTCTTTGGAGGAGACGTGCTGGATGGAGGGTACACATGACTCCACATCATAAGCAAACACAAAGCCGCATTTATCCAATGCCTCACTTCTTTATTTACCCACAAGTCAACAGAAAATCAATACACACGTGCACTCAGACAAAGACTGGCACATGGCGCGAGAAAAAGGAAACTAGTTTTTAGCGATTCGCCCACACACCAACAAGCAATTACTATTAGTATGCAACGGACAATAAAAACATCAGGGTTATCACTGTTTATTAAAACTAAACTAAAATAAATCACTTTTGTTTTAAGCTAGTTACCAAGGAAACATTTATCATTTTCGTTCAGTTTAACTTGGTTAGCTTAGTTTAAATAATAATATTAATAATTAATAAATAAAGAATAATAAAATAACAGTAATAAATAATAAAAATGAATAAAAACCATATAGATATCTGGAGAAAAATATAATAAAAAAACAAAAACAAACATCAAAATTATTAAAATATGAACTAAATTTAAAATGAAAATTATAAAACTAAAAAATAATTCAAAATATTAAATAAATATATATATAGATATTTAAAAAAAATCTAATAAAAATGAACAAAAAACAACAACAAAAATACTACGACTTTAAAAAAAAAAAAAAAAAAAATGAAAACAGACAATATAAATAACTAATTCAAAATATGACATATTTGAAAAAAAAAACTAATATTCATCAAAATTACCAAAACTTTAAAATTAAAATGAAAAACAAAAACTATAAAAATAAAAACTATATTAATACAAAATATTAACAAAAACTATTACAGTATATCAATGACACTGAAACAATGCAAAACATGATTTTCTTCCTCAGTTTTTTTTTTGTCTTGTTTTCCAATACAAATTTAAAACATTTTTAAATCAAGATACACTTACTTTAGATGCAAAATCACATTGGATAAGAAGTGTTGTTTTCTGAGAAATTGATCCAAATTGAGTTTATAACAACAAATATCTGCCAATGGGGTCAAAAAAGGGTCAAAATATTTTAACATTATTTTAACAAGTTCTATACAGATATTTGTTCTCGTTTTAATAATAAACTCACTTAATTTTGTTTTGTATCCAATTTTGACTTAATATCCAATGTTATTTTGTGTCTCCAGTAAATGTATCTTGATTGAAATGTTTGATATTTGTACTGGAAAACAAGATAAAAATACTGAGGAAGAAAATCATGTTTTTTGTCCTTTCTCCAAAAATCCAGAGGACGAATATCACTTATTGTCAGCCAGTGCAGTCCGTCTGATTCTATCACATTCAGACTCTTTCTACAGTCAGAAATAACGAAGAGTTTTCTTGAGTCGCAGATTTACAGATGAGTTCAGCAGTAAAGCATCATCTTATTTCATAAGAGGAGCCACCAGGAGCATCTGGAGTTCATCAGAACATCACGGCTCCCTTCACGCTGCCCTCACATTCAATATCACTGTTTACAGTCAGAGGTCAGCACATTAAACACTAGAGAGACATTGACCTGCTGCTATGAGCAAACGCGCTTCTCTGGCAGACTGACTGAACATGAATGAACGCTGTCTTCCTCAGTATTTCAGGCTTGTTTTCCAGCACAAATATCTCAACTTTCGTCAATCAAGATAAAAAATGTATCAAAATGTATAAAAATAACAAAAACAAACAAATCTAAAATAAAACTAAAATTAATGTAAAATTTACGGAAAATATAAAAACTAAAACCAACTCAAAATATTAATTAAAACTATAAAGGCACATTAAAAAAATTAAAAATAAATAACGAAAACTTTGACTAAAATTAAAATAAAAATGAAAAATATAAAAATAAAAACTAATCCAAGATATTAATAAAAATTACAATGGTATATTTAAAAAGAAAATCTAATAAAAATGACAAAAACAAACAACAACATTACTCAAACTTTGACTAAAATTGAAATGAAAACATAAAATAAAAAAAATGTTATGAAAATGTTAATAAAAATAGAAAGACATAATAATTAATCAAAACGACAAAAATAAACAGCAACAACAAAAAAAAACTGTAACTTAAAATTTACTTAACCAACGTAAATTAACTAAAATTAAAACGAATACTGCAAATACAAAACTAAAAATGAATTCAAAATTCATAAAAACTATAGAGGCATAATTAAAAAAAATCTAATCTAATGAAAACAACTAAATTACACAAACTTTGACTAAAATTAAAAAAAAAAGGAAAATAAAAACTAATCCAAGATATTAATAAAAATTACAATGGTATATTTAAAAAGAAAATCTAATAAAAATGACAAAAACAAACAACAACATTACTCAAACTTTGACTAAAATTGAAATGAAAACATAAAATAAAAAAAATGTTATGAAAATGTTAATAAAAATAGAAAGACATAATAATTAATCAAAACAACAAAAATAAACAGCAACAACAAAAAAAAAACCTGTAACTTAAAATTTACTTCACCAACGTAAATTCACTAAAATTAAAACGAATACTGCAAATATAAAACTAAAAACGAATTCAAAATTCATAAAAACTATAGAGGCATAATTAAAAAAAATCTAATCTAATGAAAACAACTAAATTACACAAACTTTGACTAAAATTAAAAAAAAAAGGAAAATAAAAACTAATCCAAGATATTAATAAAAATTACAATGGTATATTTAAAAAATAATCTAATAAAAATGACAAAAACAAACAACAACATTACTCAAACTTTGACTAAAATTGAAATGAAAACATAAAATAAAAAAAATGTTATGAAAATGTTAATAAAAATAGAAAGACATAATAATTAATCAAAACGACAAAAATAAACAGCAACAACAAAAAAAAACTGTAACTTAAAATTTACTTAACCAACGTAAATTAACTAAAATTAAAACGAATACTGCAAATACAAAACTAAAAATGAATTCAAAATTCATAAAAACTATAGAGGCATAATTAAAAAAAATCAAATCTAATAAAAACAACTAAACTTTGACAAATTAAAACAAATAAATATATAAAACATAAAAACAAAATTTTAATAAGAGAATATAATGATACTAAAATAACACTGCTATACATACAATGCAAAACCTGATTTTTTTCCTAAATGTATTTGTCTCGTTTTCCAAACACAAATGTCAAACATTTTTTAAATCAAGATTCATTTAGATGCAAAATGACAGAAGAGGTTTTGTGTATGAAAACTATTGTATCAAAATACATAAAAACAGGACCGTTTCTAGCCAATTTGACGCCCTAGGCGAAATCCCTATTAATTTTATATATATATATATACATTCTTTTCAGACACCAGTTTTTTGTCACATTCAAATTGGTTGTCATAGTAACGACACTAATTTGTGGAGATTCAGCGCATTGTGAGTTCCACAAATCTGAATGCATTATTTGTAAATTGACTGTTAAGATAAACATTTTGCACAATTTATTATCTGTAATATCATTGTGTTGTCACTAGATGCCTGTATAGCTCTATGTAACTATCCCTAGTAGCTAAGACATTGCACATAATTTACACATAAATCACACATAAATTAATTTTATTACATTTGGATACATGTTTAGATATTATCAATGGCTACTTTTTGTCTTTATCTGTTTTTTATTCAATTGTTTTGTTGTTGTTGCTTGAAACATTGATTTAAAGTGTCAGTTATTGCATTATTATTTCAGTCAAACCTATAAAACCCTTTGTTACCCCAAACTACATATAAAAGCCTGATCAGTGGCATAAAGTAATCAATGCAGCTACTTAATCCTTTGCTACTCATTAACACGTGAACAACATGATTTATCAACTGCCACAGCTCGCCTATGCCTAGAAACGGTACTGCATCAAAATGAAGTGAGTTGATCATTCAAATCAAGTGTATTTTTCTGACCCCGTTGGCAGATATTTGTTCTTTGTTTTAATCATAAATCCACTTCATTTTGGTACATTTTTTGATACATCATTATTTGAAGAGTTTGGTTTCAAAACGCGATAAACGCCATTTAAAAAAAAATGTAGTTTCCGCCAAAATCAGTATTGTATCTGGTTGCTATTGAAAAGTACATTTTTAATTTTACGCAAAATGCGATATCCGCCGAGTTATTCTGTCATGTTTTCTCCCTTTCTTTCCAAACCGCGACAAACGCCAGTCTCCCTTCTCTGCAGAATGCGATATATCCGCTCAACCAATCACAGCGCACCATTCCACGCACTGTAAACGGTAACAACCAATCACAGCGCACCATTCCACGCACTGTAAACAGTAACAACCAATCCCAGCGCGCCATTCCACGTACTGTAAACAGTAACAACCAATCACTGCGCATCATTACACGCACTGTAAACAGAAACAACCAATCACAGCGCACCATTCCACGCACTGTAAACAGTAACAACCAATC